CCTCATTTACCCCTCCCTCTCCGCTCCTCCATCCCTCATGAACTCTTGATAATTTATAAATTATTATTTTGTCATATCTTACACTGTCTGACGTCTCCTTTCACCCACTTTTCTGTTGTCCATCCCCCAGGGAGGAGGTTATATGTAGATCCTGGTAATCGGTTCCCCCTTTAACTGGGTGAGTTTTACAGAAGATTTTTGCCCGAGTCACTTTAGTGACTTTCTAAATGTTTAAGTACAACTCTTTGCTGTAAGGAAACCAGGAAATGGGGTGTAAATATTTGTGTTCCATTTCTTAGGCCCTTTTGTCTCTAAATTTTCCTGTATTTACTAGTTTGCCTTAGGACACCTGCCAGAGAGGATCATTCTTCCTTACACCTGGGTTTTGGAATAAGGAAGCCTGGCTGATCATAAGAATGGTAAGAGCACATTGACTACCTCAGGGACTTAGAACAGTTAGCTGATGAGCTCAGAGTCAGGCATGTGATGTCACAAGACCAGGGTGGGGGTCAAGGACGCTGGCACCAGTATTGATTTTATCCACTCCTGCAGTTGCTTGGCACCGAGACGGAAACCTGTGGCCATCTTGCCAATTGTGTGTCCGTGGAGGCAGTGCTGCCGGGAGGCTGACTGCTCTCCCAGAAGGTCTGGGATGGTTTCAGCACCCTAGCCACTGGGAGGGAAGTAGCAGCCGGTGGTTGTTTGTAAGGACAGGACGTTTACAGCGCGGGAGTGCAAGCATTAGAGCAAAGGAGGGTTCTGGGGTCTTTAATTGGCACTGGTGTCTCAAGCAGTTAGGGATAAAAAGAGGAACACAAACTCAAAGCAAGTGGGGGAAAGGGAATCAGCAGGACAACAGCAGACATCCATGAGGTGGAAAAAGAAAAGAAAACAGCCGGGTATAACAGACCAAAGCCTATGAAACAAAAAGCTGGGTCTTTGAAAAGATGGATAGAACTGACGTATCTCTAGCACGGGAGACCCCGTGGGTCAGCAAAAGGGTGATAGGGAATACTGGCAACAATCCTGTACATATGAGGTTGACGAGTTAGATGAAATGGATCAATTCCTGCACACACGGCACAGCTCCCCCACCATGAAGCACGTGGAAGAGCACTTTGGAATGAAGGTGCTGACGTGATTGAGAAATTCCTGACAGAAGTCCTATTTGCATTTTTTTCTTCCAGTCATATGTGATTCCATTCTGTTAAAAATCACTATTTGTGTTTTAAAAGGAACCCCCAGTCTTTCTCTGACTGTTTCAACTCAATTTTGTGGTTAAAATAGAGATCATTCAAGGTATTCATATATAATGTTAAACATTATTGCAGTGGTTACTCTATATCTTTAAGGAACCCGTAATTTAAAGGGGTTTTTTTCTTCACTTTTAGAAAATGTATACATAAGCTTTCTACTTGGGAAATACTTCTCATTTTAAACATGTTCGAAGAAATATGTAATCAATCAGGGACATCTAGTCACCCAAACCCCTCTTTTCCAAAGGTAACCGCCAAAATCCGCCACCTGCAACGTTGCAAATGTTATTTGGCCAGAAAAGACCCCACGTGTAAGCCATGGAGGTTCTTGGCCTTGGGAATATCTGGAAATTCCGGGTGGGCGGGGTTGGTGGCACACAGCCAGGCATGCCTCCCTTGTGTTCTGTTCTGTACTGAACGCTTTCCTACCCTTACTAACTCTTTGTTTGACTTTACACAGGTTTACAGTCTTTTTTCCCTACAACAAATTTGGACTCAGAAGTGGTGTCTGAGCAGTACTCCTGCTGGCAGCTCCGGGAGGCTCGGGAAGCCCTTTGGAAGCTGTCTGGG